AAATCAATAAGTTTTTTTTTTCCCCCACTCACACGTACTACCTTCGATCAATAAACAGTTAAAATAACTGCTCGCGCTAGCAAAATGACAAAGGGTTATCCCTGTGCTTAACGGGCTTGCGTGATTATTAAAGGGTGAGGTAAGAGCGAGTGAATCAGAGATCGCGAAAATCCAAGAAGAAGGAACTGTTCATCCGCGATCTTGAACTCGAAATTGTAGTGCTGACTTTTCCGAATCGCTTTAGCCGGATTCGCGAGAATTAGAGAAAAAACAAACAAACAAACAAAAATCGAGCAAGTTGCAAGAGCATATTCCTTTTATTACAGAAATATTAATTTTATTTTCTTACTTGCCTTGGACTTTAACGTAAAGCCATTTAGCACTTAAAGACGTTTTAAATGCGATAAATTATCAAAACTTATTTTTTACTTAAACTTCCCCACAACAAATGGTAATCTATTTATTTGTAATTATTAAAATTAAAAAATTGCTTATTGAAATTAGGATCTTATTGATTGAAAATATAAAGGATATTCATAATGTCGGGTAGTTCGTGCTCGTGACTTGATACAGTCGTAGTTCACAAAAATATAAGCAAATATAGTTTTTCACATAGCAAGTTCGTACAATTGTGATAAATATGTTAGTTATGCAATTACATTATATAAATAGTTATACAATATTTAGTTAAATATTAAGAGAATATAAAGTATATTGGCGTGTAAAATGTACTTTTGATAAATTTAAATACTTTTCATTTGACGTATTTGCAATTTTGATCATGAAATAAGGAATCTTTACAGTGTTTATATAATATAATTGAGAATAAATCATTATATATTAAATAATTTTATAATACGAATTATTATTAATACTATTTTTTTTAATAACTAATTAATGAAGTCTTTAAAATCAATGTCATTGGCTATACATTTTAAAAAGTGGATATATTCTAAACTAATACACATATATTAATGTTATTTTTTAACAGACCTATATGGTCTGTAGAAATAGGTTAATAATTTTTTTTTACTTATTATTATTATTTATTTTTTTTTTTTAATAAATCAGATAAAATGATATGAATATTAAATGCTATATTTCTATTTTATACAATAAACTTTCCATTTCTTAATTTTTTTTTTTTATAGTATATTATTTTATTGTGTATGCTTTTATTTGTTTTAATCAAATTATTAATAGATTTTTTATAAAATTTAAATATAGAGATTAAAAGAGAAAAATTTTTCTTTTTCATTCAGTCTCCAAATATTCATTTCTATAATAAACTATATCTTGATACAAATTATATATATATATATATATATATATATATATATATATATATATATATATATATATAAAAGAAAAAATATTTTAATTAGCAATACGAGTACCGTTTCAATATAAATTTTCTTTAACAAAAACATTAATTAGCTAAGTAATTAAGTAAATCGTTCAGGTTTTCAAATAAAAAATTCAATGCTTAGTTAGACAGATACAACAAGCAATGAAATAATTATATTTTGTATTTTTATATACGTGTATATTCAATAGAAACAAATGTACTTTCTTATAATACGGATAAACAGTTACGGAAGTATTGAAAACAAAAGACAAGAAATACAACAAGAATTACGAATTTCTGGTACACAATGCTCGCATTCCATAACGCTTAGTGTACCTTATGTGCCACCTGAAATTCCATTGGTTTTGATTCCCCTCTTTACGTCACATACGTATAGTACGAGATACGTATTAATGGTGAATACAAATTTATACTATATTTTGTGTAACAGTTTCATTATATAATTTAAAATAAGTACATGGAATATAAATTATATTTCTTACATTAATAGTATGTAGGCAACTATAGGTACTATATATGTCTTAAGAAAAAATTAGCTAAATTATCTTCTGTATGTTTAATAAAAACGTATAACAATTTATACATATTGATACATAATCATATTATTTATTATGAAATTTCATTGAAAATTATTTCATTAAAGATTTAAGAACAAAAATAATTTATTTGTTTTTTTTGTTTGTATATAAAAGTAATTTTTGTATGTCGAATATTTATGTTGAAATGTCAAATTTACTTATTCACTTATTATTGATATAGAATGTAAATTAAAATATTTTAATTAACTAATTAGGAAAATATAAGGTTCAGTAAATTTTTTAAAAGTTGACGAGCGATATTTATAATTAAATGGCAATTAAAGTGAACTACTTGCAAATTATAAAATATTAATACAATTAATAATAATGATAAAAATCATATCAATAAAGTGGAGCGTTACGGTATAAAAATTACAAAAATTAATTCTTACTTATTTAACCAATTATGCAATATATATTTTAATGTAAATTAATTTTCATATAATTTTTTATAATTATATATATCGTTCAAATTAAAAATACATACTTAGTAAATAAAAGTTTACTTGATTAAAGAAATTAAAAAAACATTTATAAATATATAACGGAACAATTAAATTAAAAATATAGAATTATCTTATTTTCTTTTCAATGCAATTTTCTTCAGATTTAAAAAAAAAATACATTTTGCAATCCTGACATGATAAAATAATTGAGACTTTCGTGGATAACTATTTACATGCATGATAATTAAAGGTAATGAAGGGTAACATTAAATGAAAAACTAATTTAAGCTAAAATTAATTTCATTATGAAGTTATATAAAATATATAAATAATAATATTAAACTCATGGCGCTCTATATTTATCTCCTACGGTACTTAAGCTGAAACTAAGCAGTTTCTAAAAAATTGAAAAGTAAATTTAAGAATAAATTTCATTTATTTGCAATGCCTCTTTACATTCGTTTTCGACCCTGAAACATACGCGGTTGCACCGTTTCACGCGTCGACTCAACTGTGCAGACTTTCACATCGTAAAAATGCTCGCGATCGAGGTTATTTTTACCGCAGTTAGACCATACGACGAAATTATATAGTTTTTTTCTTTCCTCTCGCTCCCTCCCCTCCCCAATCTCCCCCATCCCTCTCATCTCCCACTCACGTTACTCTTCTTCGCACTCTCGATCTTTTTTCAAAAGATCCTTATCGTTTTTCTAAAAATGAATCCTAAAAATAATTATTTCGTGATTAGCACATCCGACGTCCAATAGCAAAAGTTGCCTTTGCATAGATAAACTTTAGAGAGTAGAAAAAGTCCAAGAGAAATAGAATCATAATTAGTATTAGAATATATTAGTATTTTACATATTAATGCTTTACACATTCATAAATACACTTCGTTCGCCCCCCCCCCTCCCCGCCCGCCCGCCCCGGTCTCTCGCTCTTTTATGCGCTTTTTCCCTCTACATATTTAATTATCTACACAGTATTAAAAATAATATTATTTAACTTCTTATTATAACATATAGATGATAGTTGATAATAATCATTTCAATTTTATTTACAATACTTTAAAAGAACTTAGGTAAAAATTCAGTCTGCATCCTAATTAAATATCCAAATACGGATTAATTTAATAAAATATTCGAGTAACTGCAAAAGCTTCGTAATAAAAAATTGGACGAATATCTTAAATAATTAAAATTGCATCGCTATAATTGAGTTCTTGATAAGATGAATAATCGAGGAGTATGATATATTGATTGAAAACTTTATAATATTTGTAATGTTTTTGCCAAAACAATTATTCCTCGTTTCAATAAGTACGAATTATTTTCAATAAAAATTTGGAAATGTTACGCACGTAAAAAATGCGCGTGTAATCGTTTGCATAAAAATCACGAGCATTCTTAATCGGCTAATTGAAAAAAAAAAAGCGATTTCCTTCTTTTTCAACGAAATGCCTTTCGCACATAAATTCGCGATACATCTTCGCAACAATCTCAGGATAAAAAGTATATTTAACCATTAAATTTCTTTTTTCTTCCAGCATCTTTCTCTTGTCTTTCTACACTCAATGACATTGCACGCGTCTGGTGGAATGCCTTGCACCAGAAATTTATATCCTCGTTTGATGTGACTATTCATCCTACACAGTTTCTCTGCATCCATATAATCTGGGTCGAGTCGATACCCCTTTTTATTATTTATCTAAATCTAAATCTAAAGCTGAATATAGTACTTATATTATACCGAGGAAACAAAATGTATTTCACTCCCATAAAAAGTTCTTATAGACCAAAAATAAATTAAATGCGGCTTCCGTAGTTCGCTAAAAGTAATATTCGAGTAGAACTATCCTGTCGCACTATTGCATATTTAATTTAAAGATATATTCGCTTCAACGTATTGTGTAATCTTTGTGGATTCAGCGAATCTATAATGCTGATCTTCGTATCATCTCGTCTGCTGAATATTAGATTAAATAAAGAGCTCTATTAAGAAGTTAAAGAGTTCTTCAAACTATGGCCTATCCACGTTAATATATTCCTTATGCTAGAATTAGAAAATAAAATTTACGATATTATGCGCAATATCATACATACAATATATAGAGTAACCAAATTTTCTTAGCCGAAAGTAAATGATTCTAGTCAATAATTTGAAAAATGCTTAAGTACCTTTGTCTATATAAAATATACTTTAAAAATATACTGTATGCATGAAATACTTTTGAAGCACAACGATTTTTCAACATTAATTACTGCCTAACCTCACACTTACATCCACGTTTGTAAAAGTATATTTTCAATTTAAAACGCAGCCTAATCGATTGCGAAGTAGCTCGTATAAGGAGAACCTACTTTGCAAACGGATCTCTATTACGCCCGATCGTTACCATTCATTTACCAGCAAATCGATAAAATTATTTAAAGCAAATGGTAAGCGCCGGTAAAGTTAACAGTAAATAGCGGACTTTCCCAACTCGCGCGAATCCGCCTGCGGGAAAAATCGAGCAGCTCCCTCAAAGTCGTCTATGTGATTCGCCTAAATGATTACGGAGCAAAGCGCAAGGGGAAAGGAACTAACGAGATGCATCGATGCTTTCAGGATTGTCGGCGTCGGCCTGCCAGACGAAGATGCGTACGCCGGCCGAGACCGAGGCCCTCGGTCAGCCGGAGAGCTACGGTATCGGCAAATTCGAGGTCCAGGAGGAGTCGACGTCGCCGGTAGTACTGCAGGCGGCCTCCCAGCCGGACGCTTCCTTTCCCAACAGGTGAGCCCTACAAGGCCAATTGTACCGCCCGTCCATCGAGGCCCTCCAGCCCCGAGACCTTTGCCGCGGCTACAACGCCACGACGCCTCCGCGACTCCTCGGTATTTTTGTCCATTCGGCCTCTCTTAAACGAGACAGCGCACGTGCGCGAAAGTGTGTCAATGCAGCTGCAGCGGATCTTCGTCTGACAGATTGGTCATTTTACTTTTTCGCTTTAATTCGGCTGAATGTTGAGTAAGCCGTCACCGAGGAATATTTTATTGCTTTGTTTTGAATCAGACGATCTGGCGATTGTCATTGGTTTGGTTTTTTTTTTTTTTTTTTTTTTTTTTTCTTTTTAAATATAATAAACAAAATAATACCGCAATCTCGCTCTCTCTTTCTCTCACTCTCTCTCTCTCTCTCTCTCTCTCGATATTTCACTAAACTTTTGCATATTCCTTCGTTCGTCAGTGGTGCATTATAGAGTCAGAATGTGAACGCGCGATAGTCTATTTTTGGGGAATTAATTGAATGGTTCCTCAAGTTTTCGTGAATAGAAAGGCTTTTCGCGTAGCTCATGATGCCGCGAAGCTCATTGCTTCGAATCGAGACGATTTTTACAATATCCGATATAAAGTAGCGGATCCATAATTCAAATATCATTCGCAATTATGTATTTCACGCACTTTAGGATTTATAGTCGTTTCCTCAACACATATCATTACAACATAAATTAATACTAATAATTATTGTTTATTAGTGCCTTAAATGTCGCGAATCGATATGTTTTAATGCTTAATATAAACTATATCGATAGGCTTATAAAACATTGGCAGAATAAAGTAAATAAATAAATAATGTACGGAGAGCATAGTCGTTTGAACGATTGAAGGCACACGGCAACCTACACAATATTACGCAATGCGGCAAATTTTAATTTAAAAGGCAATAAAAATTTTAATTAAAAAAAATCATTGTTAATTTGGAGTGGCGAGTGAGTGAGTAAGTAGGGAACGGCTTGAAGAAATTCGCCCTTCTCCAGCCTAAATTATTAAAAAAATTCCATTAAACATTACAGCCTGATGATACAGCCTTCATCGGTATATCTTTAAAGCTTATATAACATGACGATAAAAATTAATCCAGCGTTATATTTGACAAATGATTAAACGCGAGTCCTCGAGCCTAAGAAGCGACAAGTTCGATAATGAGCTACTGCCTGCAGGTGAAAAGCAAATGATATAATAAATCTTCCCGATGAGAGTAAACGTAAAACGTTAAACGTACTGTATTGTAAGGCAAATTGTCAGGCAGAGTAGGTGTAATTATTGGAATATCGAGAAAAATAGAAATTAACAATAAAAAATAATAAAAATAAAAAAAACAACAACAACAAAAAAGAAGAAAATAATTAAAAATAATAAGAAGAAACAAAGATGATGTCAATTATGATGACGAAGAAGAGAAGAGGCTTGGCTGTAGCGTCGAAAACCATGTTGCCAGCAACGACAGCGACAACGCTCGTGTCCTTGATCCCTTCTCTGGAAAGACGACGAAGCGTCGTTGTGCGTGAAAACGAGAGAACGCAGACCGAAAAAAGAAATGAGAAAAATGAGAGGAAGAGAGGAACGGAAAAAGGAGGAAAATAAAAGTAGTCGCGCGATACGAAGCGATGTTAATTCTCTTAGTCTAAGAGGATATTGTGCCTATGTATCGACGCTTATGTATCAAGTGACAAAAGAAAAAAATAATGAAAGAAAAGAAAGAAAAGAAGAAGAAATAAGGATTTTCTCCGATTGTTAAAAAATTTCCGAAATTCTTTATAAAATAATGGAATTAATATAATTTTATAGTTTAATATTATGCTAAAAGTGTTTGTACAAAAGTCGCCGCAACATTTATTTATTGCAATTTCATTTCTTCCTCCTGAAGCTATATTATTTTATAATACCTTAGTATAATAATTCTCGCGTTGAGTGAATTATTCGAACAAATTCAAGTGCGATCACCTAAATTCTCGCGATACTATCAAGCCGAAAGGAACGAATATTTCTAAAAAAAATCCACTGCTATTTCACTCGCGTAAGCCATGTTATTAAAAATATCTGAGTAAAATGCCCAAAGAGAGACACCAGGGAAGAGATATTGGCTGCGTTCGACAAAGGAAGAGGAAATGTTTGAATAATCATAGTGGGTGCTCTTAAGAAAATTCATAAAAGGATTATCGCGATGACCCACGTAGCGAAAGAAAACTTTGTGTGTCCGCGTACACCTGTCGGCAGCTTAGGTGGACGAGCAGAATAGCAAACGTTGAAGTTGCTCGGTCGTTCAAGGACCAGCGTCCCTGCCCCTCCCCCCGTACCCCTGTACATCTTCTCATCTTCGTCTCTCTCCATCGTCTGCTGTTTTTATAACGGGTGTAAAGCGCGCACGGGACATCCGACAGCCTAACAACCAATTGCTGTTTCGATAACCAAACGCTTTTCACTTCACTTCGATACACAACTACAACTATCAAGTCGCGCGCTTCCTAGTATGAAAAAGCCATGTTAACTCGTGTAGTGGATTTATGTGTCCGGCTTGGATGTAACAGAAATTGTTTACAATTACCTCGTGCACAATTGGCGAAAGAGCTATCTCACCGCGGTTAGGATAGATAACGGGAATCGAGGTGATGAAAGCTAACATTAGCTGCTTATTCAGCACTCCTTAAGCATATCTTCGCCATTTCATTAAAATTTTATGTTAATATTATACTTTCCGATATATTGCACGATTACGATTGTATGGTAGCTATGGTATAAAGAGCAGTGGCTGTACTTTAAAATAAAATAAGACAACTGTTTAGTAAATAATTTACTCGACGAATTTAAAACGAATAAGAGAAAACAGGCTAATATAGACTTACAGATGCATATTTACAATATTCGTAAACCTCTGTTTGCAATAGTTTGGAAACATTTTTCTTAATATTATATGATCCCTAATGCTCATAGACAGATAGATAAAACTTTTATTCAATTATCTTTAGAATAATACTTTAAAAACTCGTGTATGAAAATTATCTTAAATTATTTCGTTATTTCACAGTCAATATTAATATTTATAAACTGCGTATTATAATAATCGTAGCAAATACATTATTCGCACGTATTTGGAATATTATTTGTATTTTCCATTTTAATTCGCACGTGACTGGTAATCAAATTTTTTTATATTTACGGCGGTATGTAATGAAATGTAAACAAACATTTTTAATTTATTGATAAGATTCAATATCAACGCCACTTTTACAATTACTTCTAACAATCGATAGAATTATTTCTGCATGAGTACGGTTAAACCTTAGATGCACCTCATTATTTTTACAATATTTTAAGTAATTCATAATACTATCCAAAATAAAAAATTTTATTCGTTTCTTAGATTATGTATTACTGGAGAGCGCGCGCGCGCGCACATGTACACCCTCGTTCGCTTTCGTGCACAATTTCATAATAAATAGTTGTAAATACATTAAATTCTGAAGAAGAAAAAAATATAAAATTAATATAAGAATTCAATAAAAGTTTAAATTACGAATGGCGTAAACGTGTTATTAAAAATTGATAATATACAATTAACTCCGTTACAACCAATAATTCGTAAACAACAATAAAAACTATTTGCCTGGTTGAATGATGAATAAATAATATGATCATTATTGTACAAACTTAAAAGCATTAACGTAATTTAAAAAGCATAAATAATTGCTGCATTGTTTACTAAGTAAAATCAATCTACATCTATATTTGATTTATATTTACATTTATATTATGCTTACATAACATAAGTATAATATAAATATAAATAGTACAATATTATAAAACATTTCGCATATAAAATAGTTCATATATATATATATATATATATATATATATATATATATATGAAATGTATATGTAACAGTAAAATATCGGTTGCCAATATTTTAAAATATCGTTTATTATTTTAAATAATAATTTCCAATTAATTTTTTAACATTCACACGTGATGATTAATGCTTTTTTATAAATGGAGTTTGCAAGTATTAAATAAAACTTACAATTAAATAATCACGTGTTGTTAGATTCAAAGTATCGTAAACATCGTCATTTGCATTTTTACTTATAGGGTTTGATGTTCATTAAAATCACTTCTATTAAAGGCAACTTGTTCAAATGAGTTTGTAATTATAAAAAATAAAAAATATTAATTAAAATTGTGCTTGAATTGGGCGTGAGTAACGCAATAACTAACTATAATACGTCCAGTACTTTAAACCTGCACAATAGCCATTGACAAAAGTTTCCCTGATTACGCATTTCGCATTAACTCTAAAAATGAGTTAATGCACGTACGTCTATGAATAAACTCGCAGATGCACGTGCATGTATGATATACGCAATAGTAGCATAAAAAATATAGTATGCTGAATTAACGGAGGTCATATTAAATTATTAAAAATCGTATGAGATCGTGCAATTGCGAGAAAGGAGCTTTTTTTTATTGAGTTGTTTCAGTGTTTGACGATACTTTTAACAAATTCAATGTTTGTAATATTTTCAGCAGTCTTTTGTTGAAAATTAAAATGATACGTGTGCGCCGTTGGACTTAATATCAGCATATTGTATTTAATGGAAACAAATGATCGGTAGATATATGTTAATTTTTTGTTTTACTCATACGATGTAGAAGATTGCCGATTACGATAATTGATCGTATTAATATGCCATACATGTGACGTTATTGCTAAAGATATTAAAAATTATATTGTAAAAGTCACAGAATTGTAAAATCACTACGTCTTCTAATACCATTATATAGAAATGCGGCAGTTGTTAATAAATATGTGTGTGTAGATCGAAAAAGTCATCTATAAATCGTAATTTGCAAAATTCATTAAATTATTCTAATTTCAAAGTGCATCCGACGACCTGTTATAATTTTTTAAATTAAAATAAATAAAATTTATTATTAGATATAATAAACTCATCTATCCTTCTCATTGACTATCACTTTCCTCTTTCATTTTCATCAACTAATATTTCACATAAATTTTTTACATTTAAAAGTTTTCCTTTATAGATTGAATGCCCAAAAAATTTCAACTATTTGCCGATCATAGCAGAAATATTCTTTCTCATTATTAAAAATTTTAGATAATCAATAATCAAGGACTATAGATTTTGAGTTCAATTTAATGATAAAAAATAATATAGCTAATATGGGAGAGAGGTATTAAGAAAATTGTACTAGAACAGATTTAAAAATTCAGAATTTCATAATGATTACATAATTAATATATGTATTGTATTATTTTACCGGAATATTCGATTGATATTTTTTGATTTTAATTTTCCGTGGTAATTATAGCAATAAAAATTATGTAACAAAATAGTAACATTTTCTATATTCAATTTAATATACTTTTTTGCTCATATATATCTTATCACAACTTACATAATAGTATAGTTGAAGATTCTATTTGTACACAATAATATTCGCTATTTTACTTACAAAAAATCTTTTAATACGTTACTTATTTAAAATATCTCTAAACATCAGATATCAATAGAAAACTTTTTTTTAAATAAAATGACAAATTAATTATAGTTATAACAAATGAATGATCAAATTAAGCAAGAATCCTCGCACTTTTATTAACGACGATAAGAAGCATGAATTGAAGTGTCAAATGAGCATGTAGTTGTTCGCTGTTTTTATCAATGAAATTAAATTTTAACAACTATGCTAAGCAAGTAAATGAAAAGTTATTATTTTGTTCAAAGTGTAGTATTTTCCTATTTGTTGAAATATTACTTGCAAAGATCAATTAGTTTTTACGTGAAGTAGAAACATGTGTATAGTGAAGGTCAACTAGTTTTAAGTCACTTACTTGAATTATGTAAATTGAATTTCGGGTTTTATTTCGTTGCGCGAAATAACTCATCATTTATCATGAACCTATCGAACGAAAAGATTATTTCTACATTTTCATAGGATATTGTAACCCTTCAGAATTTCAATATATTTTTCATTTTAGTGTTTTTAATAAATTTTTATTCTTCAGCGTGATTGGCACATAAAGAACTTTATCGTATAATTTTTTTGACACTACAAATGTATTTAATATTTATTTGTTATTATTATTTTTTTTTTTTTTTTTTTTTTTTTTTTTTTTTTACTATTTATTATACACATTTAATACCATTTATGTTAAATTTTAATGAATTTTAAATTAATCGTATATATTTTTTATTATCCTAAAAATAATGACATTTTCGATTATAATATTTATCAATTTGTTTAAATGAATGTTTTGAATGTGGCACGTAATTAAATTGGAAATTTTTTATAAATAAAAATCCGATATTTCCTTATTAAAATTTCGTCGATTCAAGGAAAATGTTGGAATTTAACATTTAAGTATTTATTACAAAGTGACATATTGCTTGGGCATTTTAATAATGAAAACCCTAAGTTATTACGTATATTAAACTTTACTTTCCCGAGTATAAAAGTCACTGCGAAACAATATAATAATAAACTTGTTGCGTGGGTGTATATGTGCGTTACGTGTGTGTTTCGAAAAATATTGATAGTTCATGTTTTTGGTAGAATACGCATAAACAGATCCGCGTGTAAAATGATAACCGAGCAATCAACACAAAATCTCGATATTACAAATGCATGCACATAGATCTCTTGGCGCGCATTGAATATTACCTAATAAAAACAAATTGAAATGTCTATTAATTATCTCTTCTCTATTACAATCTCAAACCGTGCTATTGTGCACTGCAATTCAATATAATTGTAATTTATTAGTTTTCGATAGCTAATTTCTTCTCTTTAAATAGAAATATTAACAAACTGTTGACAATATATGTATATATATATATATATATATATATATATATATAATTGAATGAAATAGTCGACTTATTCTCGGCCTTAATAAGATTTGATTTTAATGCAATCAAAGGGAAAGGAATATGCTTTTACAAGCATGATCCATTGAAAATTTTAATATTTCTAAACTATCGAATGCGCACATCGTCTAATTAACAGGCAGGCAGATTAATGCCAAAACATAACCTTAAACGAAACATTCGAGCATCTTTTCACAAAGCAAAAACTGATTTTCATTTAAAAATTGATCAAACACCTACTAAAAGTGCACATAATCACGATAAAATACACAGGTTCCACTCTACTTTTATATCTCTGTTGCACGTGTTATAAGCTCCATAAAATAAAAGGAGATGGGGAGAGCATTGAATATATATGACGTACACTGCTCGCTTAAAATGCTCAAGGAGAGAGAAAAAAATAGAGACGAATTGTCGTGAAAACAAAAGTGAGAGAGAGAGAGAGAGAGAGAGAGAGAAAGAGAGAGTAGGAGAGAGAACAGGGAGATAGCAGATGGATATATATATATATATAGAGAGAGAGAGAGAGAGAGAGACATGTAGTGCGTGCGGGTGTGCGTGCTTGAGAGCGCGAGAGCGATCAAGAGATCGTGGGAGGGGAGAATGAAATGGGAGAGAGAGAGAAAGAGAGAGAGAGAGAGAGAGAGAGAGCGAGACGACAGTCTGCCGAACGCTTGCGGCGCCTCTTTAGCTTTCGTTTCTCGCTTGTGTCGATCCGCGACTTCTGTACTTTTTTTAACGCGTTAACCGAACTAACGACTACAACGACGACGACGACGACGCGCCCGACGAAGCAATAACAGCAACAGTGGCGTCGTCGTTCTCTCGAAGTGCGTTCACCACGTTCTCCTGTCTGTTCTGCCCATATGTTAAGCGCGGTAGGATGGTGCTTACGCGCTTTTTCCTCAGAAAATCTGAGGGTCAAGAAGAAGAGCATCGTCGTGACGTCCTCGCTAATGGCAACGTTGCCACTAGGTGAGCACAAACCTTGTCTTCGTGATTAACTTTTTCAGCTCTTTGAGCTCCCACTTTTTCTCCAACGATCAAATTACTGATTGTTAATTGGCCTTTTTGATAACAGCGATACTGTACCACTAATTTGGTTAGGAACAGCGATAGGTAGATGATTATTATTGCTCCGTGTGCCAGGATAAGACATTATTGTGACAGTATTTGTATTTAAATATACTTGCTGATTATGGGAATAAACGAATATTGTTGTTATCGTGAATTAATTGCAACATTCGGAAAAGTATTAAAGTAGATTTTTTACATTATTAACCATTCTTTATGTCAAGCATAATTCATAAATATATATATATATATATATATGCATACATACATGCATACATACACACACACACACGCATACACACGCACACGCACTCGCGCACACACATAATATTATAAAATTAGTTGTAGTATATAAGTATAAATACGTCTGTTCCTCGATTATTTACTATGCAGTTATAATAAATTTTAATACTATTTTAAATTTAACATGTTTTAATTTTATTGCTATAATACAATGTTTATACTTTGTGTATAAGAGAGATAAGCTTTTCTATTGCTATATTATTATTCAATTATTCAAAACGTTAATCTATAATAATAATTCTATTGTAATTAATGTAATTGTAAGTGATGTAATTAATATAAAATTCATAAAAACTGTTGGTTCTAGGAATGTTAACGCAAAGTGAAAAGTTCAATAATTTGTAAATACATATCGAACGAGCATGTTATTTATTTTATTTTTAATATATCGAGTGTTAGTTATATTATGAGAATTGGGAAGCTTATAACAATATTTCAATAATCACCATTAAGCTTTTATTATTTTTCGATTAAAGTAACTTAAGTAAAAGCATTTGTAAATAATTTGTAAATATCTGAATTTTTATCAGTAACTTTTTAGTTAATTTTTGTTTTTTAATCTTAACGTATCTTTTAAACGTATATCAACGGTTATATAATATAAATATCATAAAACGGCTCTGTGCTCTTATCAAAAATGATATTCTGTAATGAGTACACGATAGAGACAATGTAAGTACTGTAGACTCGCATATAGATGACTGTCAATTAAAATATATTTTGTATTTGCTTTCAGTATGATGTGTATTCAAGATGAATTGGGACAACTTAGCACCATAGCCGGAGATCCAGTACTTAGCGTAACGCATAGAGTTCAAATTCCAAACTGCAGCAACATTAATTCAGAAAGCAATACAGATTCCAGCGAATCGACAAATAAACCAACGGTTGCGCCCGAAACTGTTTATTCCCAAAGACCATTCGCTTGGATAGCGGGATGCATGCAACCAGTCTTTAATTTGATTAATAAAGTCACTTTTAGTGAAAAGATTAAAGGAAGTCAAAGTAAGTTAATTAGGAATAATATTTTGAAAGTTTTGCAAAGTCATGGTAAATTCAAGTTATAATAAATGTATTTTTATATATGGTAGAAGAGAAAAATTAGACAAGTTCCGTCTACATTGTTGTTGTTAGTTTTTTTTTTTTTTTTTTTTTTGCTTTTTGCTTTTTGCTTTATACCAACAACGTAATTTCGAATAGAAGCATATAAAGAAAGTCATAGGAATATCATAATCTTACAGCCGATGACTGGGAGATACCTTTCGAATACATCAGTGAACTCCAATGGTTAGGATCTGGTGCTCAGGGAGCAGTTTTCAGTGGGAAATTAAAAAAAGAAATCGTAGCTGTCAAAAAAGTGAGAGAACCTCGAGAAACCGATATACGACATCTTCGTAAACTTAATCATCCAAATATCGTACAATTTAAGTAAGTTAGAAAAATGACAAATAATCAAAATATTTGGGAGAAAGTGAAAATTAATTTATTTTATTTTTAAAATATCATTTAGATTATTATGTTTGTTTTTCGTTTTGATATTACTTTCGGTATCATTGTTGATTTTGTCACTGAATTTTACAATAAAATATCCATAAATTGATAAACTAAAAGTTTTGCTACAAGTTATTGATTTTGTTTTCTTTGCCAATATTGATTTAATTAATAAATAAATTGCGGTCTATTATTTAAGTAAATTGATTAATTTTGCTTGGAGATTGAATTTTATAACTAATAGATTCCATTATCAGTTAAAGTGGTATACGATATAGTAAAGTTTTTCTAATTAATCAATTATTTTTTCAGAGGCGTATGTACACAAGCTCCATGTTATTGTATAATAATGGAATTCTGCCCTTCGGGTCCACTATACGATCTACTCAGAGCAGGAGAATCGGTTCCACCTCCTCGGCTATCATCTTGGTCAAAGCAAATAGCAGCGGGCATGAGATATTTACACGATCACAAAATAATTCACAGAGATTTGAAAAGTCCAAAGTATGTTGAATAAATGTTAATTCACGTAGCAGGACAGTTCTGTTAAATTAAAATACTTTTCACGTAATTTTATCATTGATCTAAAAGCAATATTGAACTGCCTCGCAAGCCATATAAATCTTCGATTTACCATAAATACATACAATGAATATACAATACACAATTGACTATGAAATCCATAGACATAAATTATTGTTGTTATTTTAGTGTTTTAATTGGACGCGAGGAAGTTGTGAAAATAAGCGATTTCGGCACTAGTCGCGAGTGGAATGAAAAAAGTACGAGAATGACCTTTGCTGGAACAGTCGCGTGGATGGCGCCTGAAATTATTAGAAACGAGCCGTGTTCTGAGAAAGTGGATATTTGGTAAAAAGCAAAAAAAAAAAAAAAATTCATTATATCTTTATAATTCTTCCTAAGTTTCGGCGATTAAACTCCGGCAGCTAACGCGGCGACAATTTAATATCAATAGGTCATACGGCGTAGTATTGTGGGAACTTCTTAGCGGCGAAATACCGTATAAAGACGTAGACTCATCGGCAATAATGTACGGAGTTGGTAATAATTCGCTTCGCTTACCAATTCCAACGACCTGCCCCGATGGTTATAGAATTCTGGTTGAGCAATGCTGGGCGGCAAAACCAAGAAACAGGCCATCGTTCAAGCACATCGAAATGCATTTACAAATAGCGGCTGTCGAGCTCGAAAGTACTACGCAAGATGAATACTTTAGAGCTCAGGTAATAATCATATATTAACATTCTGCAAATCAATAACAGGCCTGGGGCTTTATAATTATATCCTTCCAATGTCTCGTATTATCATTTAATGCGTTAAATGTGACGATTTCAATTTAATCCGACAAGCCTTGAGCGTTAATGGCGAGAGTGAAAAATCTACTTACAACATTGCCTTTGCAGCAAACATGGAAAGAAGAAATCAGAGAGCACATGAAACAAATACAGAGCGACAACTCGAGTAGTCCTCGTTTCGAAGCGGACTTGATACGTCGACGTGAGGACGAATTACGGCACGCCCAAGATATCCGAGAACATTACGAACGTAAACTGGAGCGCACCAACAATCTATACATGGAACTAAGTGCTGTTTTATTGCAACTCGAACAGCGCGAAAGGGACGTGATGAAGTAAGATTAATTTTCATAGTAGTAGTTTCTTAGTAAGTAGTTAAATAATAAGTCTATTGTTGTACAATTTTAATCGAATGGGAGGGGGAATGTAATGGCAACGCGCATGGCGAATTCGAAGCATCGCTTTTCTATACATTTATCACACCAGACACCTTATCGATTGATTTAGAAATTATTTCACGAGAAATATCAAAATCTTGAGATTTAATAGCGAATTACCTTGTCAAAAGGAGAGAACAACAGTCTGGGCACAAACAAAGCAAGAAGCGAATAGTCCATCCCCTACTGAAATGCCAAGAGCGACTTAATCGTCGGCGCAATACGACCATTCAGTTTTCTTCGTCGAATCCCACATCGCCGCTCTCGCCGGCAAATTTGCCACTGAGCCCCGTAAAGGCGACTCTCTGCACGCAGCTGAACGATGCCAATAAGCCCGAGACTGTCATATTGCCCAATAGCTTTAAGCAACGAAAATTCCGACATCGACGGGTGGGCTCTGGCTGCGGTATTAGTTCTAGTCCAAGATCCAGTCCTCAGCGAGAACGAAAAGTGAGCTTTAGTTCAAATTTATACATTTTTTCAAATAAATTATTCACATTTTTATTTCCCTCCCCCCCCCCCCCACCCCCCCCTCCCCCGTTTTTTTTTTTTTTTTTT